GGGCATTGCGGGGACTGAGGGGTTTGTGATCCCCGGGGATTGCGGGAATTGCGGGGTTCGTGATCCCCGGGCATTGCGGGGATTGCGGGGTTCGTGATCCCCGGGCATTGCGGGAATTGCGGGGTTCGTGATCCCCGGGCATTGCGGGGACTGAGGGGTTTGTGATCCCCGGGGATTGCGGGAATTGCGGGGTTCGTGATCCCCGGGCATTGCGGGAATTGCGGGGTTCGTGATCCCCGGGGATTGCGGGGATTGAGGGGTTTGTGATCCCCGGGCATTGCGGGAATTGCGGGGTTCGTGATCCCCGGGCATTGAGGGGTTCGTGATCCCCGGGGATTGCGGGAATTGCGGGCTGGGGTGAGCCCGGGGTATGGGAATTCTGAGCTGGAATGGGCCCTAATCCCAGGAATGCCAGTGTGGAATGTTCCCATTCACAGAAATCCCAGTCTGGATTATTCCCATTTGCAGAAATCCCAATCTGGAATGTTCCTGCTCCCCAAATCCCACTCTGGAATGTTCCCTGTCCCTGGGAATCCTGGTGGCTCCAGGAATTCTCTGATTCTGGGTTTTTCCCAGGAAAACTCTGCTCCCTGCAGCTCCCAAGCCTTGTTTCCTGGGAATCCCAGATCGTGGGAACGGATCCAGGAAGTTCTGGGAATTGGGGGCGCGTTCGGAGTTGGGGATTTGGGGTCTGGCGCATCACGGCACCGGGATCGTGTTCCCAACCCTTTTACCGTGGGTTTCTCAATCCATTCACTCCCCACCTTTTTCCATGGATTTGGGATCACAATCCCAACATTTCCCACCTTTTCCCATGGATTTGGGATCACAATTCCCTCACTCCCCACCTTTTTCCATGGATTTGGGATCACAATCCCCCCACTCCCCACGTTTTTTCCCATGGATTTGGGATCACAATCCACAATCTCTTCTCTTCCCAGCCCTTTTCCGCAGATTTGGGATCACAATCCCCTCTCTCCCCACCTTTCTCCACATAAAACACCCCCAACCTCCCCCCATTTTTTCCATTCCCACCCCATTATCGCCCTCCCCGTTGGGTTCAGAATTCCAGGATTTTTTCCGAGAATTTTTCTGGAATTTTCCTGGAATATTCCAGACAGACCTGACTGCCTGGGATATGTGGGGGCAGGAAACCAAGCATTTCCCACCCCATTTTCCCCCGTTCCCAGCCCGTTTTCACCCTCCCTGTTGGGTTCAAAATTCCAGGATTTTTCAGGATTTTTCTGGGATTTTTTTTTTGATTTTCCAGAATATTCCAGACGGACCTGGCTGCGTGGGGGGCTCCGGGGGGAGGCTCCTGAGGAAGCTGTGGCAGCGCTCCCGGTGCTCCTCCAGGCTGCTCTGCTGTTTGTAGCTGCGGCCGCACGAGCTGCACTTGTAGGGTTTGCCCACGGTCGGGGACGCTACTGGAAANCCAGTCTGGAATGTTCCCATTTGCAAAAATCCCGATCTGGAATGGTCCCTGATTATGGGAATCCCCATCTGGACTCGGGAATCCCAGTCTGGAATATTCCCATTTGCCAAAATCCCCATCTGGAATGGCCCCCGATCCCAGGAATCCCAGTCTGGAATGTTCCCAATTGCAAAATTTCCAATCTAGAATGGTCTTTGATTATGGGAATCACCATTTGGAATGATCGCATTCCTGGGAATCCCATTCTGGAATGTTCCCTGCTCCCAAAAATCCTGTTTGGGAATGTTTCTGCTCCCAAAAATCTCATTCTGGAATGTTCCTGCTCCCAAAAATCTCATTTGGGAATGTTCCCTGTTCCTGGGAATCCTGGTGGCTGCAGGAATTCCCCGATTTTGGGTTTTTCCTGGGAAAACTCTGCTCCGTGCAGCTCCCGAGCCACATTTCCTGGGAATTGTGGGAATGGCTCTGTGAAGTTCTGGGAATTGGGGGTGCATTTGGAATCGGGGATTTGGGATCTGGGGCATCACGGCACCGGGATTGTGTTCCCAACCCCTTTACTGTGGGTTTCGCAGTCCCCTCACTCCACACCCTTTTCCACAGATTTGGGATCACAATGCACAAATTTTCACTCCCCACCCTTTTCCATGGATTTGGGATCACAATCCCAACATTTCCCACCTTTTCTCCACGGATTTGGGATCACAATCCCCTCATTTCTCACCTTTTTCCATGGATTTGGGATCCCAATCCCCTCTCTCCTCACGTTTCTTCACGTAAAACACCCTCAACCTCCTCCCCTTTTTCCCATTCCCACCCCATTAGCCCCCTCCCCATTCGGTTCAGAATTCTGGGATTTTCCCAGAAATTTTCCCAGCATTTTCCCGTAATTTTTCCCGAAATTTTCCTGGGATATTCCAGACAGATCTGACTGCCTGAGAAACACAGGGGCAGAAAACCAAACATTTTCCACCCCATTTTTCCCCATTCCCACCCTGTTTTCACCCTCCCCATTGGGTTCAAAATTCCAGGAATTTTCCTGTAACTTCCCCGGAATTTTTCCGGGATTTTTTTTGATTCTTCTGGGATTTTTCCAGAATATTCCAGACGGACCTGGCTGCGTGGGGGGCTCCGGGGGGAGGCTCCTGAGGAAGCTGTGGCAGCGCTCCCGGTGCTCCTCCAGGCTGCTCTGCTGCTTTTCCCCATTCCCACCCCATTATTGCTCTCCCTG